ATGTAGTCTATTACTTCTACATCAGTCTGTTACTTTTCTCAAACCAACTGTGACAATATGGTTTAAATTGCTTATAGGATGGGTATATACAGCGATATCTAACGATAAAAACAACTTCAGAACCCGATTCAGTCTCCTCAGATCAGTGGCACAGGAATTACTTCATGTCAAAGGTGATACAACACTCCCACCCCATCTGTATATCCACTATGGGACCACTTCCAGACGCTCCAAAAGTGGATTATGGTTCTGCAATGCTAATTATGTAAATAATGGAGTGGTTCCCAGCACAATTGGATCGTAAATCATAAAGACTGAGATAGGGCTGAGTCTACGAATAGAACTGAGAATGGGACGCACAAGTGCTAACTTAAAAAAGTATTTTGGAGTTGCTTTTACGAAATTTCATCAGAACTAGTGCGGGGGTGCAAGTCAATGGTGATTCACAAAGACTAGGCGGGTCAAACCTTTGCAAAGGGCACGTTTTCCTGTAATTGGACTTTAACTACTGCACCAAAATTTAAAATGTGCTTTGCCAAATCACTTCAAGAGTTATACGGGTTGCCTTCGGTAATACCAACCTGTTTTCAAGGATGCTTAGAAAGGGGAATTTCGGTGTCGCCCTCATAGGTGCAGGACGCAAAGACTGGTTTTGCAAAGAACTTTAATAGGATGTAAATTAAATGGAGTCAGGAAGAGCACATTAGGACCACAAGATAACGCTATTTATAATAGTTTATTCTCAGAAACAGTGCAGAAATTAATTATTCGATTTTATAACTAAAATTGGTCTAACAAAACAAAAAAATAATAATAATGAACACCAAAATCGCTTCAGTATTTGTAATAATTTACAAATCGCTGCTATCCGTCTTCAGTAGGTATCACGCACACCGTTTTGTAGAAATGAAAAATCATTTGAAGCATATTCCAATTTTTGGGAAAAGGGCCCCAAATCTAATTCTAAAGCTTCCGTTCCTCATCACCTGCAGTCCAAACTTCGGCAAAGGAGGAAAGAATTTTGGTGGGTTATTTATACGCTTGTCATAACTACTCCAATTCATTTCAACCAGAAAAAAACTGTGACTTAAAATACAGTGTTTCAAACTGCTTAAAATTGTAGGACGGAAGTAATTAGCATAACAGTTTGGCAGACTAAAGTCTCGGTAATCACTCAATGATGACGAGTAGGATGTTTGGGCCTTCCAGACGAAAAATTGGAAATGAAACTCGAGAGAAAGAAAACAAATTAAAGTGTACAAATAAAAACTCCCACCAAAAGAATGGAGTGATGCCTTTTAGTAGCCTCAGAAGATGGCACGGCAAATGTCGATTCTCCAATTGACAAGCTAGTGTCATGGCAACGGAGGACATTAAAAAGATGGGCGACGGAAGGAGACAATACTCACCCCAGTTGTAGCCTGTAGACTTGCACCACGGGCAATGAGATTGCATGTCACCTCATCATGATTGCCTTGGGCCGCCATATGCAGTGGTGTGAGTCCATTCTGTGAAAGACAAGAGGGGGAGTCGAAAATTTGACAAGTTAGTCGAACTTTCATCACGGTTCCAATGTCTTGGACACATGCATTCAGTTATCTGAATTGCGTCAATCATCTATTCCGATACGGCAATAGTCACCCCGACGCTGTGTGAAATCGGGAAATAGCTGATTGGAGGCGACGCGAACGCAATACTTCAAGAGGCTGGTCCTGAAGGCTCCATATTTATTTTGGATGATTTTGATTGTATAGCATCGCTGTTTTTGAGCCGATGATTGCTGACAGAAATGAACGATCTTCCATCCGTAAGTTTTCCATTTGGATAGACCATTAAGTTGCAATTAAAGGAATGGTTTGCTTGAACCGTCTGTATCAATAATTTCAGCACGAATTCTCAAAATCAACCACACAATTAAAGCAAAAAAAGGAATGAACGAAGTGCTGAGAGTGGGAAATCACAGAGCAAGTACAGAAAAGGTCGTCCCCTTGCCCTCAGCGAGGTAAATGTACTGTACTTTAATTGAGTGGGTGATTCCATCGACTGGGTCCACACATTTATTCCCTGCTTAGGTCTTCAGATCCTGAATCCTAGAAGGCAGGGGCCTGAAAATATCCAGTTGTAAAGGCCAGAAGATCCTTATTTAAGTGAAACGAAGCAACTGGTCAGTCCACTCGGAAAATAATACACTTTGGCTTACAAAAAGTGATGGAAATGTATTATTAATGATGTCCGCCGTTGTTGCTTGGCTTATAACTCACAATCCAGAAAACATATAAATCTGGAAAAAGAAAATACAAAACTGCCGATGATGATAGGAATTGGAATTTCTGATTTACAGACCAAGTCCACGAAAACCAAGATTGGCGAGACTAAAAATTCAATAACATGAGGACTGAAAGAGCATAAAGCAATTGTTTCAATCAAAAGAGGTTCTTTAACACGATGTAAGTTTTTGCTCTTTCCAAAACTACACCAATAAATATGCTTGTTTATGTCTTCCACTGGGTAATCAACTAAAACATCAAAACAATTCCGTCAGAGATTTGGGTATTTTAGCCTTTTGGCTAGCACCAATTGCCAAGGCAGCATGCAATCATAAATTAAACTCACAAATGCCGTGCCACCTAACACACGCTGGTGCTTCTAAAAACGTGATTTGGCAAAAGCGAGTTACCGTTTCTGATTCCGTTGCACTCTAAATTCTTCCACTATAATCTCTCAAACACCTGCCATACAGAACGAGATCAGAGTATGGGTCAAAGTGCAATAATGATAAAGGTCAGGGCTCTCAACCTCAGTTGTGTGAATATAATGGGGCTAAAATCGGCGAATTCAGACCAAAGTGAGATCAAATTGACGTAATTGAGCTAAAAGCTCAAATTAAAGATAGCAGTCAATTTTAAGGACAGTCTATACCAAATAAACTCACAGCATATTCATACCTTGAAAGTAATACTCTCAGAAATCCCACTCCCATAAATTTGTCCGTGAGCAGCCGACCGCAAGGAAATCGCTCCAATATACATAAATGCATTTTCGGCAGACATATGTGGACTTTAGGCTTTGGGGTCATTGGCCATTGATTAGGAATGTAACTTCACTTTTCGCGTCACGGTCCATGGTGAAGCAAATAGCATTTAACGGAATTAAACAAATATTTGAATTCAGTCATAGGTAATGCCAGGGCCGTAGACATATCTTCAACGACGTGGTGTAGTGATTGGCTTAAATTAAGCTGCGTTTGGTTAACGGTCTTATCATGGCGGTGGTTTCGACAGATACCAGCATATTTTAAGGTCCTGGCTAGCGTTAGCTACCAGGATCGCGTGCTGTGGCAAAGTAACTATAGAAACGCCGTTACCTTTAGCGAATTCCATTAGCAAAAACAAGTTAGCACCTTTGATTTCAATGCACTGTAAATACACGTTGCCACTGTGGATGCAGCGAGTACAAACTCTCTTGCAGAGTGGGAAATGGGAATGTGAGTACACGAGTTCGTGAGAGTATGAGAAATTAGAGGCAACAGTAAGGACATTTACAACATCGCCTCAAGGTGTGAATCAAACCTGGGAATAAATGCGTTCAACGAGCAAGTGGACAAGCGTGAGAAGGTGCGGAAGAATTTTATTAAGAGTGCAGAGAGCAAGTTATGTGGTCACCAAGTTTCACGGACATCGAATCTTCTGGCATGAGAGTGGGAACCAGAGGAGAAATTACAGTGACAGGAGAATTCAATGAAATAGCAAAATCGGAGGTGACAATACCAACGAGGTGGGACAAGCTTCACAAAGAACGTGGAATGAGGAAACAGGCATGTCCACATGTCCCCCTTACTCACCGAGGAATAGAACGCGGAATCTTCTAGAGGTAGATTCGATCGGCCAAAATGGTGATCTACTGTTATTCAGAGGCATATATGGGATTGGTCCATAAGCATAAAGTTAGTACTTCATCCCTTTCAGTTGATAAGCCGAACCAACTATATTCAGTTTGATGAACTACCACAATTGCCAAATTCTGTTTCATAGGATCTTTGGAAAGTGACATCAGTAGTCTCAACACATTCTCCTGTGGTCCGAATGCCTGGAAAATGTAATTCAATCTACAAATGTAAAGCGATCCTTATGAGTGCAAAAAGCGTTTTTTTCCTTGAAATAAGAAAGCTATAGCCCTGTCTCTTATTCACTGCCTCACAATAAGTGCAAATGACTTAGTGTAGTGGTAAAACTTTAGCAGCGCCTTCTCGCTCTTCAAAGTGTACTTTGTCTTTGGTGGGAAGAACTTTCCTGTTTTAAAAGGGAAAGAAGGGAAAGCTTGCACAGTGACGGAAAAGGCATTATCATCTACATTAGAGCAAAGCTCACACAATCATTTCTATTTGGACCGCAATTTACACTAACGCTCAATTTGTTGAAAAAACGGCCCTCGCATTCGTGTCCCAACATGATATTGAGGGTGTGGTTGTTTTAATGTGTGAATTCTGCACCGATATCGGTTGTTCCTGTTTAAAAGACAATACATACGCAAACAGGAGTCACTTTGATAGATGTACGTAATGCCGGCCGACGAGGTGAAAAGGACCCGTACACAACTAGAAGGCGGGTAGAAAACAGTCTGGCCAACTTTGCCTTGAATTCAAGCTTGGAAACAACGAAAAGACGAAAGTTGCTTGGGAAAATGGTCAACAAGGGAATGCAGGAGCGTCAGGAAAACGAAAACTACTGTGATGACCCGAGTTCTCGTCCCAGTCTCGACAACATCAGCGTAGGAGTTCGCTTTGAGCAACGTTGTTGGGAAAGACCTAGTTAATTTACGAGTGCCAAACGAGCTAGGAATTAGGAAAATCAGAGGGGTGAACACAACCTCATACCATTGTAGATTGAGGAGCCTTCTCCTTTGCCAATAGCCCTGATTTTAAAACCCCCGAAAGAGTAACCTGTTAATCAGAATGGTGTTGCCTCCATAGAGGATTAAATTCGCCTTTTTTTCCTTTTGGCAAAGTTTTGCAATCTCAGCACAGCGCTCTACATTTCAGGAAAACAGTTAGCAATGCGGTACCTCAGCTTACCTCAGTTGGATCTACTAGAAACATAACAATTTAGTAGAGTTGACTAGTGGGAGAAGGAAAGTTTGGCTTGTTCGATCATTTAACGTTGAGAGACGCATTCTAAATAACGAAGCAGTAATAGAGATTGTACATGTTCTTGTCTTTTCAAAGTGTAAGTGAACCGAGCTCCCTTGAACTATTCAATAAATAAAGAAATCAAATCAAGTAGGCGCTTAAAAAAATATGGCCGATTCTAGAAGGAGGTTTACAACGAAACACTTGCTCCAAAAGCAAAATGATCAAATCCCATTTAGAGCACCGGAGGTAAAAGAACAAAAAACTCCCCTATCGGGTATGCAAGTGTGAATTTCAAGCCAAACTTTTGATGTACTTTTCTCCTTAATTTATTCATGGCGGGAATACAAGCGCAGTGTCTAGACAAATATTTGTTGAGATAAAATCAAGCGCAGATTTTAACTAAGCAGCCAAATAATCGCTCAGGAATAAAAGCAGGCCTTTGTATTAAAAATTTTTTTAGAATGGCAAAAATAAATACCGCACTAAAAGTAGTCTTTGATAATGCGGGATATGTTCGTCTCAATTTGTGGATGTAGGTAATTAGGTGGAGCAGTTACCATTCCACAACCTTACGAAATAAAACTGAGATTTGGTCAAAAGCCGAAATGGAACCATCGCCAGTGGGATGTTTTAGAGTTTCAAATATATTTTGAGTGATAGACTGTCGGTCCACTCCTCAGACTTCTTATGACACGATCCAACAAATCCTAACTTGGCATAAGCATCATTGCCAAAAATTGATGCAAGCGGAATTTTAACGTGGCCACGGATAGTTCGTAAAAGCTACTAACTGAAATACAAGGCAATGTCCAACCCATTACCGCCACATAACTTCAAATGATTTTAAATTCACTCAGCAAACCAAAAGCGAATAAATTCCTCCAATTAGAGGTCGAACCGACCCCGAACGAGACAAAGGAAATACCATAAAATGTACCAGAATTTCAACGCGCGATTGGATGGGATAACTCCTACAGTCAACGCTGATGATGTTGCAACATAGTAAAAGATCTCAAAACAGCTGTCAATTGACAGATGGAACAGCACCCATTCCCATTCCTCACCTTTAGAACAATCTTTTCGTCAAAACAGTAGTAACTCGATTCACTCCAGGAGGATAGAAAAGGGGAGAATAGACAGAGGAGAAGGGTGGGGCACCTACCCTGGTCTTAGCGGAGGGGTTGCAGCCGGAATCAATGAGCATAGTGCAGACGTTGTTGTATCCGGAGCGTGCAGCACAGTGGAGGGGCGTCAGACCGTCACGCGTTCGACTGTCCACCGAAGCGCCGTTGTCTAGCAATAGCTTCACCATCGCCACCCGACCCCACTTGGCCGCCACGTGCAGTGGAGTGATGTTGTTCTGTCGGCCACACCAAAGGCAAAGAAAAAAGTGCACATAAGGCCATCTGGGGGCAACTTCAGGTAGTATGCGACGGGGTACCGATCAAATGAATTTGTAGTCGTAAATTCGGAAATTGTGCTTGTATTGGTGCTAAAACATCGTTTTATGGACCTAACTTCTATTATATTTATGTACAGAGGCTGTTTTTACCACATATATGCGACCTAATGGGACAGTTTTCCTGTTTTATGGCGATAAAAAGATCATTTGCGAAATATCTACTCATGACCTAGAGTTACTGGAACCAAAGCCCATGCGACTAAATGACAGCATTGTCAAGTTGTGATGGCAGATTAAAGTCAATCATGAATTCTGAGTTTATGAGCCCCATTCTCGCCAATTCATACATTATACGTATGAATATGCATTCGCTGGTAATAGATAATATCCATACGATCAAACGGCACAGTATTGCTGTGTTGTGACAATTGAGCTGACATTTTTATGTAAAACACTGAAATCTGTTACAAAAAACCCGTTTTACAAACCTTGATCCTACCGAGTGCGTGCTTTTAAAGACTGCAATGACGGTGCTTACCCAATCAAATTGCACATGATTGCATCATTATGACATTAGGCCTTAAAATTTTAGACCATAAATTAGAAAACGCTTATAGTGTAGTAATACAATGCGAAATGCTGCGCTCATTTATGCAATCTCAACCGATTAACCCGAAATCCATTATAGACAGACACGTGTATGCACATATTTACGGGCGTGGCTAAAAAGTACCAGATGAGTAGACGGTGGTGTTAAGATTCTCAACTAGGAGTAGAATGGCTGCATTGTGGAAATGCAACATGAAACACCGAGTTTGGCTACGAAAGATTGACTCATACACTTGAATTGTGAAATACATGCGATATTAAGGTTAAATTACGTGGCACTGCCAGTTTGGTGTGATAATGGTGCTTTATGAGCTATTGATCAAGGCTTGAAAGGTTACCGTGGATACACTAGAGCATTTGTACGATCAAATAGCGCAAAAATGCCACACACGGTTCGTTGTGATATTTGACAATGATTGGCTAATAAGCTGGTGTAATTGTTTCAAACTAGATGTCCCACCATCAGCGCATCGGAGAAAAACCCTTAGCAGATTCAAAAGGGCGGATTCACTGCTATCACACAGCCAAAGTGAAACACCAACTGGTTATTCGCCATTCAAAGGTGAATACTACAGCATTCATGAAGGCTTAAGTGTAATGAACTTCCCAGTTTTAGCAGGTCCGACCCATATAAAATGGCAAAGCAGAGATGCGACCAGATCACAGCATGGCGGTATTTTACTAACGAGCAGTTATACAATTTAATAAAATTCTGCGTTTTATCGTAAGGAATCTTTTGCTACCGGAAAATGGGTCACATGGGGGTACACTGCAAGAAAAAGTCATTGGGACACCAATTTGTGCTCAAGTTACTTTGGTCAGGAAATGCACCCCCTTTATGCAAAGCGGAAATGGATAAGAAATTATTTTTATAAATAACTGTTCTTCCTTTACTGAGTAAATGTAAAATGACTAGGCGAATTAACAAAACGGGGAGCGCTTTAGCAACAGTTACCCCTTTAATTTTCGACATCTTGCAATAAATATGGGTAACTAAGTAGTGCGAGCGGACGGACACTGCTCCGTGAGCAGATTAATTAAATGGCAGAAAAAAGAACTTATCCAGGTACCTAAAAAATAACTACAGGGCTTAAAATGAGTAGATTCCACTGGTCAGACATAAAACAGATCAAGATAAAGTTAGCAAATAGATTACTTTGTAAGAGGTCATCAAAACGACCGTTCAGGGATCAGGAGAATCAACAATTATACGAGTGAGAACTCTAAATAATGCATAAAGATGATATAACTTGAGCGTACCTACTACTAATTAAAATTTTAAATGATACGTTTACCTGATTATATGATAGAAAGGAAAAAAAATGTGCATCCCATACCTTGGCTTGGAAATTGACATCCGCACCGCGTTGAATGAGGAGAGCGCCAACGTTGGTCGAACCGTAGTGTGCAGCGATGTGTAGTGCCGTGAAACCCGGCTGGAAGAGAGGGTGTCGGAAACGTGGGAGCCATTAGTAAAATATAAAGGACCTTTTCAGTCACTTACGACTCAGCCTTCAGACTGGCGACATGAAGATCAGCTCATGCTTCTTTTACACTACCAATTGCAGACCCGCACCTCATATTACAACTTGCTCTATTAGCTAGTACTTTAAAGGAGACTATGTGGGAAAGTTTACTACTGCGCGAAAAATGTCGTAGAGAAAGGTCGTCTCCCTTGAACGGATGAATCCACTGGCACATTCTACAATTCCACATAATCAGTAACGTGGTGAGATTCACATTGGAAGAATTCAAAGCTTTCACGAAAAAGAATGCCAATGCTAACTCTTAATTGTAAAAATCTCAGAGCAAGTCGGATTAATTAGTGGATAGTACTTTGAGGCAGAATATAAACAAAAGAGATGCAAAATCGGGACACAACTCCAAGGAACAACTTTGCGTGCATGTCTTAATGAATGCTTGTGAATGTGAGTAGGTGGACCTACAAAAAGCCGCTAGCACAAGAAATGGCCTCGTCGTAGGGTATCATGCATCCATCCACGAGTAGTACACAGGCAGTACAAGTGAAATCTAGTAATAGTATAGCTAGCATTGAATTTGATGGGCTTCTCTTCGCAATGCAAAATTGCCTTGAAAATAACACTCAATCACTTAAACGCCCCTGCAATGGTTGGCGCTCAAAACAAGACCGAACCATGCAGTAGCATGACATTTGCCCTAGGTTTATGCATAAGTACACAGACCGTCGTGACAACAACATGCAGTTCCGGTCAAACTACCTATGCTACCAGTCCCTCAGCCAGAAGTAAAGTTCCTTTCCAAAATCCTTTCTAGTGAAAGCGCTAAGACAGCAACATATAGATAATTTCCTAGGGCAATTCTTAAAGCAACAATGCGGCCATTTGAAGTCCAGCAATAAAGGATGTTTTTTAAAGCGACGACGCCTGATAGCTTGCATCCCTCACAAAAGGGAAATGAAAACTGCTTGCGCCCTGGCAAGTCTTTTATTTGCATTTCAACTACCTATTTAATCTCGGAGAGCCAGAATCACAAATCTACCTCCTTCGTATGTGGAAGAGATGTACATACTTAACACAAGAAAGAGTCAAGTTGAAAAAAGGAATTCGACTGATCATTTATTTATACATGTCAAGAGCAGCGATTTTTATTACCTCCAACTTGTCAATTGAGCTAATTTGATCAAAACTTGGGAACATCAAATGATAACTGCTTGTTTTAAATTACTGAAAGGTTAAAAATATTCTTTAAAAAGATCTATCACTCGGGCTAAGCGACTAAACTGAGCTTTTCCAATTGGAGTCATGTCATGCATGAGCTGCCCAAAAAAAATTACTAGACTTTGGCAGCCTCACTGCAAAGTGGACAGCATACCCTGTGTAGAAAAGTACAACCAGAAATAGACAGGTGAAGGATATTTCGAGACCACACGCAATTTTTGTAAGATTGTGGACAAGAAATTTGTAAGGTCCTTCGAGAAACCAACAAAAACAGTACAGGTAGGTCGAAACATGAAGCATTTAGCGAGTACGGTAGATTTGTCCAATTCGGCTTAGAAATGGATTTTTCATGTTTAATGACCTTATAATATTTCCAACAAAACATAAAGTTACAAATAGTAACTGGATGGGATCTTTGGTAAAAAATTAAAGATGAACCGCACAAAAGATTAGTTTCCAAGATGAACTATTAGCGTTAAAAAAAAACTTTAACAATCTACACAGGACAGCAGAAGCAAACGGTGAAAACAAAAAGCATGGTTATTTTTCTCCAGCAGTGGCAAGTTTGACACGGTAAAGGGAAAAGTGAGGGCTTAAGTGGGGTGAAGATTATTGTTAGGAGCTATTTGCTGTCAAACAAAAATAGATAAAAATGAATCTCACAAGAGTAAGTCCCAGCATGCATCTATGCAATGAATTTTCCAACAAAGCAGACGATCGGCTTATTAGCATGCAATTTGAGTCGACAGTTCCAATTCGTGCTGCTTTCGGCTTAGAATAGTACAGATAGAGAGAAACACTGAAAGACGACAGATACCGTAGTCTAGGTTTTGTAAAAGAACCAGCCTGAGCCAAGGCTAAGGTGAAGGTAGTTTTAAGAGGTAGATCTATCTCAAACTACTGAGCTACCTCTCTAACAATACTTACGCTTTTGTTATCAAGATCCCAGGGAAAACTCCATCAACTTACCCTAGCTGTTTTATTTTCTGTTTAAAATGCCTGCTGGTAGGGATTCTCGTGCCGCAAGAATAAACTAACACTGTGATTTCAGAAAAGGCATCATATTAAAAACCAAGTAGCGAAGGAGTATTGAGGGTGGAAGATCCACCATCACCATCTCCTTTTTGCTGTGCCATAAAGTATTTCCCCGAAGAAAAAAAAACATATCTATTGTCGCGACTTTGTAGGTCTGCCACTTCAAATGATAAGTCTAACAGAGGGTTGTAACATACACTAAAGGCTTTTGATAAAAGAGTTTCAGCACAGGAGTCACCGTGCTGAAATGAAAGTTTCCTCCACTGACGTTTTGTTCTCCCACTCCCAGTGATTAAATGAAGACGGCTTGTTTAAATTTCTCGGCTTGTAAGACATACCATCTATAATTTCATGCGCTAAAAGCTTTTGGGCTAGAATCGCAATTCTGCTTTAAGACTAGGTATTACATTATTCACGGCAGTTGATCCGTCATTTTTACGCAGGATTTAAAGCGCTGTCAGGTAGCTTCCAGCAATTCTTGTTAGAGTTGAAACCTTTAATGTTGGATCGCGAAAAAAAATTACCGAAAGCGCTTAAACTATTTGTCCAAAATGTAAACAAATTGATGCAGTAACTTTCACACGAGGGTTTGTGGGGATGATGAAAACGAAAATTCACACAATTTCCACTTTCCAAGTAAAAATTAGCACAAGTGGTCGCCTAGCATACAAATTCCAAGTTTGAGAATTGAAATAAGTTCGTTTGAGAAACTTGTTAAAATAATGACTCGGAACCCACCCTGTTTCTTCACTTTGCCGGCTAGCTTCAAATTGCGCAATAGCGTCCAATCTTGACACGAACGCTTTCACGTTATTTTCAGCTCCTAATTACTTCTAGTATTGTGTGTTCGTAAATAGGACTGAGGGAGCATGTCAGAAGGCAGTCTCCAAACCACCAGTGAAGTCCTACGCATTCAATAACACCCACGTCTTGGGCAATCGTAAAGCCTGATTAGTTGGCGTTTTAAGACACGCGCACTAATTCAACGAAGAAACCATGGTTCAACGAAAATACTCATAAAAGCCAATGGGAAAGGTAGTGCTCATGCACCAGTGCATCTTTAAGAATATTTAATATGGAATTTTTTTAAACTCAGTAAATAAAGGAATCGGGTGTATCACACTCAATCCAAGAAAATTAATCCGCCTCACGTCAACAATCTTCGGACACAACTAAAGCAGCTATTTAGTTTGCGCCTTCTCTGGATAAGAACTATTGAACGACTCGGAATATCGGAGGGGATGGACACTTAAACTTTATACTTAATTGAGTGGAATTCTTCCACCCCAAAGAATTGCACTTGGTAAGATACCAAGACTTGCAACTGAAAGCGGAAAAGCAACACGGCGCTCTTTTATACGACGATTTTAAGAAGCAAAAGGAGCACCTTAAATAAACCTCCAAGAAGAGAACCAAAAAAGTACTCTTTTCACAGAAGTGACTAAACAATAGCTATTGAGCTCATTGGAAGAGTATCAGAGTACGAAACTTAATAAGCATGGAAGTCCCAAAAATCATAATTACTTCACCAAAATTCACCTGATTCAATCTAACAAACTTTGTATACCAATTCATTTAGTTAGCTTGTTATCGAAAAGAAAAAGGATGAAGAGAATGAGGGGACGAACCCACCTGAGACTGGTGATTGACATTGGCATCAGGGCTCATGAGCAGGAGGTTGGCAGCGTTGACATCGTCTTTGCGAGCTGCTACGTGGAGAGCTGGAAGTCCGCCACGACTTCGGGTGTCCCGTTCCAGTAGAGTGGCCACGACGCGATCGTGACCCTGTTGCAATGCCACTGCTAGCGGTGTGAAACCGTCCTAAGAACCGTAGACGATGAGTATAGACATGTTTGTACAAAAGTGGACAGACTTCGACTCACAGGCTTGCTACTATAGTCATAATATCTACCTTGAATACCTCAAATAAAAAGACGCAGGTAGGTTAGGTGAATTCTTCGGGAATTCTACCTAAACGCATAACCACGGACCAATAGAATTGCAGCGAAATGATACTTGTTCTCATTGTATATGTAAGGGAAAGTCATCAAAATATGATACGAAATCCTTCCACAGTCTCCATGTCTATCACACAAATAACCGATTTATCAGAGCATAGCTTCAACAGTTAATATAAAAGAAAAAATTCAGGCACCGTTGGGAACACTCAAGGCAGACCGGACGATGCTCTTGGCGCACACTACTGCTATAAAAACCTTTCCACCCTCTCAAAACTCACCCATCACGCTCGCACCACCCATGCTAACCAGTCTTCCAGGCCCTCCGTACCATCATTTCTTTCAGACCTTTTTGACTCGCAATATCTTTAGGGATAACTGAGGTACTATAGTATCAGCACACTTTTGTATGCGAAGACCTGAAATTGAGTATTCCTGATTTTTTTTTGATCACATTATCCTTATCACTTGCTGAACACTCAAGCCCTGAAAGTTTGTACGCACTTTGCGGCACTAATGTAACGTTAGTAGCTATGAGAAGTCACCACGTTGGCCAATGATGCGACTCTGATTTTGGGATCCAACGTGGACTATAGTGAAGGGGAACTTTACCTACTACCCCAATTTTATTCACAAAACCTTAACGTTTATTCAAAGAACCTATTTTCTCCATGAACATCTCCACCTGTTTAAGCACAAATTTGATTCAGCTTTGCAGTCCTACTTTTAAACGATATCTTAACGTTCCTAACAAAAGAAATTCGGTCAAGTATTATTGCTAAAGCTTCAAAGGTGAGAAGAAAAAGCCACCTTCCTTTCAGACTATGAAATAACAATGATTTATCAAAACACGACTGGGCTAACATGGAATTTGTAAACGTGACCAAATATTTCGAGAAAAATAAGTGTAATTTGCGTTGAATAGACTCTTCCAATGAAACCATTCCAAAACAACCTGCAACGTGCGAATTTAATGAAAACCCCTACAATAAACTAGCAATAACACTTAATTTTATTCTTTTATAAAACAATTAATTAGCAACATTTTCACTTGATGCCCTTCAAAGAGGCAACAAGATTTCATGCGTGACCTATCCGATGAATTAGTAGCTCATTTGGCTTTAAGCAAAGAAATGATCTACTGAGACGTGCTCGAATAAAAGATTAATGCATAAATGGGCTTCCAGAATAATAGTAGGAAGAGCGACTGCCATCAGAATCACTGTAAAACAGCCTTCAATGATTGTTAAAAAAGGGACATCACGTCTAGAAAGTGAGCCAAGATTGCAGCCATCACGTGTAAATCTTATGAGCGGAAAATATTTTCTTATTAAGTTGTAACACAAACATTTCATGAAAATCTCAAGTATAAATCCGTATTTTATCAAATAAGTAAAATAGAATACACGTTTTAGAAGTGTTAATCAAGACCCGAAATTAAATTGTGCCTCATAGACGCAGAGTGAAAACACTTCCATGAAAGTGTGCAGAGCTTGTACCACATTCATAATTTTCAAGACAACAGGAATCTACGCTTTCTTGAACTAACACGAAGATGTGACCCATATATATGTTGTCCCCATAGCAGACGGACTATGATGACAGGCCTCAAATAAATTTTGTTGTACTGTGTTATGCTGTACCTGTACTCTACGTCCGCTGCCGCTCCTGAAGTACTCAGAGCTAATTTAGCAGCACCTAGAAACTAGCATAACAAGCTGCTATATTTATTAGTACGTGTTCGGAGTAAGTGGTAAGGAATAAAAGGCAGAGCACGTGATTGTTACACAGGAAGAGCAAAAAAAACCCGTTTTCTGGGCAAATCCTTTGTCAGCAGGGAACATACATCAACTCCCTCTCCACGAGTAATGCACATAGACAAAAGCTACGAGATTTAAAGCTAGTGAATAGAATAAGATGTAGCGCTTTTCTTTTAAAAAAAGCAAAGAAAGTCCCAGTGCGAGTTAAACCTTTGCAAGCATCCCCACCTACCAGCATTTTAGCACAAAAGTGAATACCACGTAACTCCAAAACCCTGTCACCAACCCATAATTGACAAAGCGCTGGAAGATGCTAGTTTGAAAAGAGTTACAAAAATGGAAAACGGTTTCTCGCCAAAAAGCGACGTTAGGGTATTTGGCAAAGAAATAATTACTTGGTTAAAAACGCTACCACATACCTCAGTTGTGAGTGACTGGTTAGCACCCTTGTTGAGTAAAAGGATAACAACATCTAGATGGTTCTCTTGTGCAGCCATGTAGAGAGGAGTGAAGCCAACCTAAATACAACAGGAAAGGGAGTAAAGCTGAGTCAAACTTTAAAACAGCTAAAAGCAATAGCGTCAGATGTGCCGTCCCAGAAGCTTAAACCAAGCATATGAACATCTTAATGTTCAAAGAATACCCTATATTGTCGAGCACAGTTCAAAAATCAGAAACGTTAAGTGCAAGATAGGAAAAGGAAGACTAAAAGCCACAAGATATCCAGGAGCGGAAGAGATAAACTAAATCAAACGCCAGGGCTTACAAGGAAAAGCAGAGCATTAAATGTCTAAATGATTAGTCCCGCCAATTAAAGACATATTATACCGAACGCACCACTGACTGACAGTTGGGATTTGCATTTGCATCAACAAGAGCTCGAACAACACCCAGATGACCAGCAAGGGAGGCGATATGGAGAGGCGTGTTCCCCTTTTTCGAGGTAGCGTTAACATCTGCTCCGTGAAGAATCAACTCCTTTACTACCGCAGTGTGACCCTCTTTTGCCGCCAAGTGGAGTGCTGTCAAACCCGTCTACAAAATCCACAATGCGATGGCCGATAACGAGACAGCACAAAAGCTGCCTGTTTACAAGTATCTATCAATCTGGATAGGAGTACATGGTAACTCTACTATTTATATATAACAATAAAAATTTTCAAAGCATAAATTTGCACTTAACTGGACTGTCAATATAGCACGGAATTACACATAGAAGAGCAATTAGCAAAAGTCGAGACCACTTACAGGATTGGTGGCATTTATATTAACGCCGGAATTTATCAAGTCTATAACCTTCTTCAGGTCGCCTGCCCGAGCAGCGCGTAACAGGTTTTCCCCTGATTCTCCCTAAAGCATGAAATAATGTGATGTCGCAGAAATAAATAATAGACTTTGGTGAACGAGGCCTACGAGTCACACAACTGCACATCGCGGCACAAGGTAAAACAGGACGTTATCTGGTGTGCGCATAGAACCTCTGATTTATTCAACGCATAAGTCCTCAGAAAATAAAAAGAAAAACAAAGGCGGAAAAAAGCCAGTTAAGTACACATCACTTGTTTAAAGTTGTCATGCAAGACCGGGATGTTTATCAGAAAAAGCAATAGATTATACAAAAAATGCTAGCCCCAACCCCACGTTTAGTGGATCCGTGTTGAGGATCAGTCCCCCTGGTCATCGAAAATCCGTAAGCCTCAAACTATCCAACGACCCGAATCAATTCCCAATTCACTAAAACAAAACACTATAGACAGCCAAGTTTAGTGATTTCACAAAAGCTTAATAAATGCCCTAGCAAACAATGCAGCAATACTTAAAATTTATATTTTTCATAAATATATTTGTGGTGCGAATGCATTGTATATCTATCTGCGTGATGATAGTTGCCCTACGTTTAATAAATCTGTTAGAGGGTTTCCCAAGCCTTGAATTTTATTAGGCGAAATCTCATATTCAACCACTTCTATAGTGATTCAGGATTTTAAGCAGGTCTGGGGTCAAAGTTTGTGGAATGCTTACACTTGTTCCTGTGTATTTAATTCACTTAGTGATTTTCCCCACATGTTCATAAAATTCATGGCATTATTTTCTTTTGCTCCTTGAAACAGATCTTGCATATTTTCTTCGTTGTGTGTGGCGTCCTCCCGAATTCCTAAAAGCCCAAAGCAACACGGAAGTACACATTTACTAGGGCACCGAAGAGCCAGGATTACAGTATAGGACGGGACTCGTAAATATTCTCTTCCTTATCCCTCACACTCCTAAAAAACACCCAGGCTGGAAGAGTTTTATGCCATGTTTGCTGAACAAAGTAAGTGAGGAGGCCGAATACAACTTCAGGGGGGTTTGGACACGGGACCTTTCTCCAGGTTGCAGGACGTTGCCCCTCCTCAGTCGCGGGGTTCAATTCGTATGTCTGCCTCCTCTCCGAAAGAAGACACTTAAACAATGCAAGTATTACACCAACAATGCGATAACTTGGTATTTTATTTAACTATGCAAGCACTTTAGTCTATGCAGGTTGCATGTTCGCCCCGCCCCGAACTGTGGCCTTTGGAACCCTTCCGTGAACCACTAATATAGGTTCACCCATGCTTCTTCATCAGAGACTGGAAAAGATACATTTAGCATGTCCCACACGTCATGCGGAGATAGAGGGTTAAGCAATATAACAGGCCGCGACTGCAGCACTAGCCTCATTTATCTCCTCCTCCTTGGCCTTTATTCCCTTAGAACGACGGGAATGAATGGATTTGGGCATATTTATTGCCCAATGTCAATGGAGATAGATACAAGTTTAGAAATAGCTGGACATGAGGCTCTTCTCTGGTTTAAAAGATGTTGTCCGTCCCTCAATCACGAGGCCCTATTCGACCACCCGCTTCCTCCCTGAAAGGTACATTTGAAAGTACCTTTGTTTTGGTTTTGCAATATTGCCCCAAAATGAATACCGCTTCCTATGCAAGTGTCAGTAACGCCTTGTTCATTTTTCTGAAATGAAATTGCGCGTGATGGTCTGATTGATAATACGCGTTTAGCTGAATGGATCGCTATGCATGGAAAGTCAAAAGAAAGACGATCAAATTTTCCAAAATTTGCAATCGATGTTCTCAGTGCCCTAAGCTACTAAGTTTGCCGCATGAAACCTTTTGTGGTTTTTTATTCTAGTTAACTGCAAAATAGTCGCCAACTGAACCCATCTGTAATGCTCATTTTGATGGTATCTCAAAATACACCACTGTGCAAATAATATTTGACTAGAACTATATTTCGTGTCTAGACATGGATTTAAAAAACCGAGTCCCAAGAGTACACGGATTTACGAAGTTGCAGCGTATCTTTTTGGTGGATTCATGCTTTACTACACCACAAGACCTGCACACAGGGAAAAATTATGCAACTTTATGGAATAAAAGTCCGACTTAAATATTACTCACAACAGAAACCCATGTAAGTTAAAATTTGTATATATTTCATAAGCTGCTAACCACGAGCGTGTTTGCAACGGCTATTTAAAAAAGGATTCAATATGACGGAATTGTCATTTTTACACCCGACCACTTCACCCACATTGCTTACTGCAGTTTGACGCATTCCTAGTTCATTGAAAGCGCAATGACAGGCGAAAAAAAATATTTTAGGGGTTATACATCTCTCCCTAATATTTTCACTGTTTTTTTCTCCTACGGCCTGTTTTTACGCTCAGGACCGAGGAGGTAGGTTAGAGGAGGACATCATGTGGTTTGGTGGTGTGAAATTCTGCAAATGACAAAAGTTGTGTGAGAATGTCTGAGTTTGTCTTCCTCCCCTCCCCCTCCTCCTCAAGGGTTGATGATGCCCTCCCGGTGTCAAGGTCGGGTTAATCTACCATCTTGTCACCTTTAAATGATGCCTTTAAACAAACGTGCATTGCATTTCAGTCTGACTAACAGAAAGTACGCAGGAAACGTAAGAATTTTAAGAATCGCATAAGAAATTAAACGTCATTTTCCCTGACAGGTTTCCACATGTAAGAAACATAAACACTAGAATGGCCTTACGAAAATAAGGTTTTGGGTAAAGAAGACACCTCTTCTGTGGCATCTCGAGTCTTCCCTGAAGTCGTAAAAGTTACAGTAGTGTGGCAGAAAATGTATTTCCAACGTGCAGAAGAGCTGAGGCTGCTGGTATGGCCTGGGGCCATGCCACCGAGTGGAATTACAGCCTGCTGCGAATGGGGTCCCCTCGTGATCAACTGCAGAGTTTAAAACCTATCAAAGCACCATACTTATTTCTTATTCATCATGAAAAGTAATCCGATAAGGAAATTTTTATTTCTCCTCTCACCATAATCAGGCCCTAATTTTCCACTTACACAACAGTACTTTCAGGCCCAGCCCATAAAACAGTAGAGCCTGGATATCTTGGTTCCTTGAAATAACAAGAGTAGACAGAGTGATTGCTACCTCCCATTTCATTGTTATTGTCATTGAAGTCTTACAACTAAACATGAGAATCCGTTTTACATTTATTTAGTATTACTTGATTAACAATGTAAAAACAAGGGCTAATAAGACAACAGGGATGACTTGACGGTATTCCCTAGTCGGCCTTGCCTTCATCCCTCTCCTCATACATCTAACGGCGAAGTCTGTGTCAAATTGTGGTACTTCCAAATTCACCATGTCAACTAAACAATAATTCTCCTATTCCTTCCGTTTGTTTGGTGCTGGATGTTCCCATGTCCTGATCACTGTGACCGAGGCGAAAAGGTTCTCTAAACTACTTTTGAAGAGCTTAAATCTTGAGGGTTTTAGTCATCGACAAAGTGTGTATTTGGTGCACCGATCTGGTGAAGTTTTCGGCTTTTTTGACCAGACCTGACCTGATATACTTTTTTTCCAAGAGAAGAGGAGAGGAGGGGGATGTAAAAGCATTGCATTAATTGAAATTTGTAATAGCACTGACTTGCTGGTGAAGATGGGCGTAGACCTGAACGCGATGCCTCTACCAATAGTCGCTTTAGAAGGAGTTTACTCTGAAAAGGCCAAACGAAGACAAATTTGGTCTCACATTGGCATTTTAATGTTTCAAGCATTATCCAATTTTTGCTGTAGGCTTCATCTACAGATAATATCAGCGACACAATTTGTTACCGAACCCCTCCATCTTTCCCTATCTCATACCTTCAACAATGATATCTGAGCGGCTCTTGAACTGTCAGTATGAAGGAGTTGGATGAGATAACATATTGCCATTAGTCTTCTCTGTTGTCATAAACAGCCACAGTAGTAATAACAGGAAGTGTACTGCCAACATTCAGAAGGTTTGAGCGCCTTCCGACATGGCTTGAAGGCAGGCCACGCCGCCGAGCGGAAGTACAATCTAACTCGACAAAAAGTGGCCTCTTAGTCAGAGTTAAACAAACCGTAAAGCACTACACTAACCTCAGGAGGAATCGCCTCTTCCCACCCCCTTCTTGATCAAGTCAATTTATCTTGCGGAAAAAAAAGAAGAAAATAAATGAGAACGTTCTGGGATTATTTTGTTGAGCATATTTGTTTGAATATTCCCTCGTGGAGAAGCGGAGTCGTCGGTCCCTAATGAAGGGATAAACTCTGACCTTTCCGTAAAAGTTTGGTAACCTGTAAACACCCTCCACACTACAAAATATAAAATGCCTTCTTCCGAGCAATCTTCTTGATACAAGGGTCCGAAGTCGGCTTAGGTAGAAAGGAGAGACAATAAAATATTGTTCTATCTCACCACTGCTGCCAGTGTGATACTATCATTGTTCCGGCTTTGGACCCTTGGATCGAGACGAGTAGGAAAAGACATTTTTTATTTGCGTGGATGGAAAAGGTTTACAGGTTGCTATAGTTTTATAGGGCATGGGCGGCTGTTCTACCCCTTGAGGACCGGTGTCGTCCACCCAGTCAAAAAGGTTGGTGTCAACTAGACCCTTGTCACCTAAATGGTGCATTTAAACCGCACAATTTTCAGTTTGGAAACACCAGGATGAAGTATAGTGGATTTACAAGCTGCTTTTAGGTTAAATTTTGCCAAAAATAACTTTTCTTGCCTCTAATAGGAGCAATGGTTGAATGAAGGAACTAAAGTCTTTTGCTCTTCTCTGTGATTAAATCCATAGTGACTTCATAAATATCGCTGACGCCATTGCTGCTTATCATAAACAAGACATTCCTACCTCTCTTCATCATTTCAGACCTTGCGTGGAAGAGTGTGGAAGAGAGGAGCTGTAGAAAGGTGCTAAGTGGTGATGCCAAATAGTGCAAGTGATATCCCAACGGTCGTGGTGTGTATTCACCACTATAACGGACCTTTTCGATATTCCACTTGCATTCACTGATTTTAATGTCATTGTCTTTCTTCTGCAACTCTTCTTCGTCCTTGATACTTGTTTTACGGTCACGTTCAATACACATCGACTCTAGAGTGTCGGAGAGCTTAGATACCGTCACCCGTCTCTCTCCTCCATCTCCTTTAAGCATTACCTCTGGAGTGCTGCACTCACATAATTGTGGTGCCTTTCTTCACCTCTTCTTCCCATTTTCCCTTCGTCCCTAATTAGCGTATTCCCCTCTCAGTCGTAGTTAGTCCCCGGTCGACAATCACTCCACTTATCCGCCTGTGACTGACATCTGAGCCAGTCATATCAACGATGGTAGAAATACCGATTTTGTCACATGACATGACCTTCGACACGGTGATTACGGTGCTGCAAGTGAGACAGCTTTAGACCAATCAAAATTGAGTACCCGCAAGAGGCCTTTGGAGTACCTTGGCAGAAAAGTTAGAGTTAGAAAAGTATTTCTCTCTTCTTTACCCAATTTATAGGAAGTGTTCAGAACTACTTATACGATACATAGTTATTAACATTTTTAAGGGGAAAATGTTGTTCCACTTTTCGCTTAAAGGGACTAGATATTCTGTAATAGGCTCAGTGGTTCTAGCTTCCACCTCAGCTCGCAAGCCTTTGAAACGAGCAGACGGGTTGGATAATGGCATCCTTTAGAGAGTAGGGATAATAAAGGAACTACAAGTG